GTGCAGAATAGCACTAATAAATCCCAGCAGGCAATACATTTATCTTTCCCGTCGCAGCCCTTGGAATGACTTCATTTGAGTCCTATATGACTAGATAAACGGAGCAAAGGGTTTAAGACACATTTATTTAATGACTTATATTAAAAACATGCATTCCAAATAAAGAGTATGAGAAGATGAACAGCTCTGCAAAATAAAAGCTTTCTGCCAACGGAATAGCAACTGAATGTGGAGGAGAGGAGAGGTGAGGTTGTAATGTGCTCTAGTTTGCATAGGGCATCTCCAAGGCACTGTAAGAGTTTCCTGGGGTGTGAATTATTATCATAAGCTTCCAAACTGCCAAGTCCCTGAAGCACAGAGGGTTATAATTGCTCTCTCTGGCAAAGGGAATAAGATTGACAAATTCTATGGTATCTCTATCTCAGACAGGCTTCAAGTTTTGATAGTTCCACTTAGGGCTGCAATTGTGTGAGAGCTGGGAAATGAGAAGTTCCTGCATGTTATCGAACTATGAATGGTCAGCAGTGTTGGAGAGAGAGGCCCATGTTTTCTGTTGAGTATGTCAGTTTTCCCAGCATGACCTCCTAGGGAATTGCTAAAGCCACATGTGTGTACATGTGTGGGAAGAGCTGAATCTTTTGTGATTTATTGGCAGGTACTTTGTGGGAGATTATTGTATTATCTTTATTTGTATGCCCAGCGTCACAGAATGAATCCCTGCAGAGCAGCAACATGAGACTGAATATTGCGTTGTCAAAGAGAATTCTTGCCCAACAAGCTGGCTCTGAATGGGTATCATTGTCTGTATAAGAACCAGTCCACATAACCAGTTCACATAACACTGAATATGGGCTACAGTGCCAGCTGTGGTGAAGGAGAAAAGGGGCTCCTGTAACTTTAGTATTGTGTACAGAGACAATGTTCAAGCATTCACCTGAATGTGGGCAACCATAACACTTACACCAGATTCAGGACTTGATTTTCCTGTTCCATTTGTTGTTGTTGTTGTTTTTGCCAAAAGCAACTATTTTGGTCTCCATTTTGAATCTTCAGTGATGGAATATTTCTTTTCCCATCCCACTTTTCCAGTGCAACATGTTCCCATGACACCACTACTAGCCATGGGGCTTTGAAGAGAAAGCACACTGACAAGTTTCACAGAACAGTCACTTGGAGACAATCAAGCAACTGCTTTGCTGTCCAGTTAAGCCATCAATTTGTGATTTGTTTTACACTCATTTCACTAATAATTGGGTACTAGAAGTTCTTAAGATGGCATAGTAAAATGTCAAGGTACATTAAAATGCATCAATCCTAAAGCAGACACTTTACTTGCAAGTACTCATTTTGTTGTTGCTGTTATTGTGTCCAACTTTCTGTGTCCTGCAGGAAAACTTCCTGCTGTAATTTTCTGAGGGTACTCATGTTTACTTGGGAATAAGAACCCCTCAGTTCAATGGACCTTACCTTTCCAAATTGCCAAACATAAAACTGAAGTCTCTGCTATAAATGAGCTTTACCTTCTTTTCATTCCAAAATAAAGGCATACATGAAATTTAACCTGTACCAATCTGGTTCGGAACTCTACAAATTTATGAAATAAAAGAGCAGGTAGTTCCAGGCTGTGTATTCAATGTAATTCTTTGATAGCTCAAGAAACTTGCTTTTGCAACAAACACCATGACTAAAAAGTATAACAACTTATGGAATTGTTGTTGTTTTGATTTTGTATGCCACCAAGTGTCTACTGTGAGATAGGAGGTGATATAAATCATACAAACAAATATATAAATAAATAAACTTGATCACCTCCCACACTTCTGGAAGATGCTAAATTTGAAGAAGGCCGCTGTACTCAGTAGGATTTACTTCTTGTACTACAAGCATATAGCAACATTTTTAAACTGTGGTGGGTTCACACACTGCACATAATGTGGCATGCTTGATTTTGGCTAGCATGTTATGTAAATTCAGACAATTATGGTTTATTTAACAAATCATGGCTAAAAGATGCCTTAGAGTAATTTAGCAATCCAACTGGTATATCAGTCTCAAGTTAGGAATGGGAGAGCAGAGTTTTAAATCATAAAGCACAAAATCAATGCCAAGCACAGCATCCTTTCCTTATTTAAACTGTGTTAAGTATATTATACCAAATCATTAGTGCAAAGAATGTGTGTGTTTCCCACACAAACTCTCTACCCATGACCGTACAATTAGGGTTAGTCATGATGTGGTATATAAAATTACACTGCATATATCTAAGATAGAACACTTAAGATTATTTTTTTTCCAATTAGTGAGGCACTATTGAATGGGAGGGTGGGTTCTAGAAGAAGTAAACTATGCTGATCAAAATATAATATCAGATCTGGGATTATGTTTTTCATCATAGTCTAGAGACATTATCTTCTTCAATGGCTCTCAACTGAGACAATTATTGCATCTAAGTTTCAGGGATGAGTTTACAGATCTGTTAGTATAGCTAAGTAATTTTAATGCCTTAAGGGTTGAGGGTGTGGGTAAAAGAAAGAGAAATAGAGATGAAGAAACAGGCATACTGAAGCTGACAATTGGTATTTTCTTCTCTTTCCTGCCTTGACACTATTCCATGTTTTACAATCTATACTACTTTTCTAATACGTTGGGGATGGAAAGGAACTGTGATCAAACTCTGACCAACCCCCCCCCCAAAAAACAGAAAAAACCAAAACCTTCTGAGTGTGTAGAATTTCACCTGAAACCATAGCACTTCCACAATAGAGAAACTGATTGATCGAACAATTAGATTTCACTTTGCTGCAATCTAACAGACTCTCTTTGCTTACAAATACTATGCAATCCCACTGCAAAAGCAAACATACAGAAAAAGACTAAACACCCTATTCTATCAAGCAAAGAGACATTATGACTTAAATGCCCTCCAGAACAGCATGGTCTTCAATATCTTCTGGAAGGTGGCCCAGGGTAGGAACAGATCTAACTTCAAGTAGAAGGTCATTCCTAAGGGCCAATGCCACCACCCAAAAAAACCACTTCCAAGTGTTGACCCGTTGAACCTTCCAAAACTGGGGAACAATCAGCTGCTTCTCCTGACACAATCAAAATGGTCAGGCCAATTTCTATAGAGAGATGTGCTCCTGTAGGTAGCCTGGAAATAAAATGGAGTCTCTTTCAATTGCATGAGAAAAAGCAGCAGTTAGGGGTTAAATAAATAAAATGAGAAATCCATAACTTGCCTATGCCTAGCCAACCAACCTCAATATAAAATGCTTTTCATCAAAATTAAGAACAAGGACTGTTGTAGGGCTAATAGGCCCAGAAAGTTGATCATTATCTTCCCATCACCTGCTGTAATTTGCATAGCTACTTGGCTGTATGACCCTTGACATCAGGTCTTCAGATCCAGTCCTAGCTGCACCCCTGTACTTATTACAAGGCTGAGGTTCTGCCCACCCTTTTCTGAGATGTATATTAGACCTGGTTGCACATCTGGGATCCAGAGATTATAGGGTGCTAGAAAATCCAGAAAACTTGAATCTTTATGAAAACTTGATTACTCTGCCTGAACAGTTCCTGCTTTAGAAAATCACTGTATGATCTAACATCTAGTTACACATGCACAAAGGAAACAACGAATGTATGATGATGCCACAAGCGGTAAAAAATAAAAGGATTCCCAAGAGAGTGGCTAGCTTATATCCTGGGGTGCCCTGTGAGCTGACAAATAAAGAACAGATGCATTATTGATTTTCTACTTTTATTTATGATAAAGCCACCTTCCTCCCTTTCCTTTTTTGCTTGAATGAAGTTCTGGAGCTGATGAAAGAGATTTTTATGCTGTCCTTCAAAAATGATGTCCTCCCCCCCCAGAATCTGACTATGCAAATGACTTCAGTCCAGCAACATATACTGTTACTGTCAGTAACTTATTCTTCACTGGGGCAAACTAAACCTTGCACACTTATTAAAAAAGTCAGCTTAATGCTGCCACCTCCTTTCAGAAGAAAAATCAAGGGAAAGGTGATCAAACAGAAGCAAGCTAATAAATCAGCCTCTCATATTTTCCTCTGCTAAGTGGCAAAGGCTGAAAAGAGCCCAGAAGGACAGCTCTCCATTCTCTCTCCCAACTTCTCAGATGGAAGTCCTGTGGAACTTGCCCCCCTGGGCTGTAGAGAGGGGAGAGGGCGCACCTCAGAGCTGGTAGTGCCCGTTCACTCCTTCGCTTTCCTGTTCTAGCTACTGTGGGTCCTATCCGCTCTTCAGCATGCAGAAAAAGTGAGAAGGGTTACTCTGTCTCTGTCTCTCTCCCCCTCTCTTTCTGGGCATCACAGTGAGCCATCCAAGGATTCTTCTTACTCCCCCTCAGTCTCCCTCCGCCCCCCCCCGCCCCCCCCCCCCCCCCCCC